CACACACACACACACACACACACACACACACGTTGGACGGGTGGTGTCACGCGTTTGTCGCGTTGAGGCCTATGGGCTCGCGCGGCAAATGAAGTGAGGCCGCGCGAAACGGCCTTATTTGCAGTCGTTCCACTTTGCCCCCCAGCATCCCGCCCAACCCCGGTAACCCCAAAAATGTCCTGGCCGACGTCGGGCCGAACTGGGGTCATGTTTTTTTTTTTTTTTTTTTTAAAATAAAATAAAATAAAATAAAATATTCGGAGGGCATGAGGTGGTACCCAGCAAGCCACTGTACCACCCCAGGCCCTTAGAACCGCCGTACCCACCACTAACCGCGTGGAATCCGAGTTTGTGGACCTCGTTTTTTCCCGTCTAACGGGCGTTTAAACGGGGATTCAACGCGAATTCAACACGCGTTGAGTTATTCAACGCGGAACCCGCGTTGAATCCAAAATCGGACACACAGGTGCTGGGGTTTGATCATCTATGTCTCTGTCCTGACTCCGGTGATGAATGTTACTACTATCGATTTCCATGGCGGTCAACTGGGTGCATGTAAGTTCCGCCTTTTCTTCTTCTTTTACAAAAACAAAAATAAAATAAAAATGAGTGAGATAAGATGAAAAAGTTTTAAGCTTTCGACCAGCAGTCTTTAGGAGCTTCTGCGAGGGTATAAGCCATCGGCATGCCTGTATGTGGCCCTCTCAAGCAAGCAAGGGCTCGCCGTAACTGAAGCTGGGCCCCCGAAGCTGGGCCCCCAAAGCTGGGGCCCCAAAGCTGGGCCCCCAAATTTCCATTAGGCCTGAATTCTACAATTTTGCAAAGCCCTGGGTAGGCGCCAGACAGTTGCCACATACCAGTTGGTTAGATTCACCCTGCTTGTGAGATTCAGAAACAATTCGTGAGCCTTCTAGGCTCTTCTGGGTACGCAGTGGAAGCAAGGCACTCCTCATGTTTGCGTGTGGGTGGTTGGGCATGCCTAATGAATTCGGTCCCAGGGCACTGTCTAAATGGGCCTGCGCGCAGACACTTTGGCCCAACCTGAAGCTACTGGGCGCACGCGTAGCCAGGCAGACTGCCTTCGGGCCTGGCCACTTCGCATATAGCAAAATGCCTGGTCGTGAGTCGGGGGTTCACGCACTTGTGTGCGAGGCGGCAGCGCTGGCAGAGCATTCGCTCGTGGCTGGTAGCGCTAGGTGCCCGGGTGAGCACGGTCACAGGGAAGTGAGCGCTGCTTGGAAGCAGCGCCAGAGCTCAGCCTCCATAGCTGGGCATGAGATCGCGGTTGGTCAGCGGGGTTCGGGGGTGGTCTTCGGGAGATGAGAAAGAAGCTGTGGGAGAAGACGAGGGTGAGCATAGAGAGGGCGAAGGCGGCAGCGCTGCTGGAACATTCGCTCGTGGCTGGTAGCGCTAGGTGCCCGGGCAAGAAAGAAGCTGTGGGAGAAGACGAGGGTGAGCATAGAGAGGGCGAAGGCGGCAGCNAACATTCGCTCGTGGCTGGTAGCGCTAGGTGCCCGGGCAAGAAAGAAGCTGTGGGAGAAGACGAGGGTGAGCATAGAGAGGGCGAAGGCGGCAGCACTGCTGGAGCATTCGCTCGTGGCTGGTAGCACTAGGTGGTCTCCGGGAGATGAGAAAGAAGCTGTGGGAGAAGACGAGGGCGAGCATAGAGAGGGCGAAGGGAGAGGTGATGTGAGAGCACGTACCTGGTCCTGGCGGAGGTCTGCATCGCTGACATCTGCATGTACCTCGGTCGCCGTTGCTGACGTCAACTGGTTGCTCGCCATTTCTGTAGGCTAGCGTCGTAGCTGTAGGATCGTAGTCTGGGCGCTGAGCGCCAGTAGGAGAAGAGTGTCCCGTACATTGTTGGTGGTGGAGAGAGAATGCTTTCATTGACAATTGAGTTCTCTGCTTTGGTTCTCCTTGAGTGTGATATCAGTGCATTTCTGCTCTCTGGACAGCATACAACAATCTGGCTTTCGAGTTTTAACGTGATTTTACAATTTGGAATTCTGTCATTTCGCTATTGCTCATTCTCTTTGCACTTTTACAAATTGTAAAAAATTTGAAGTCTTTTGAGAAGAGAAGAAAGAAAAAGAATCTTAGAGACTGAGGCCCGGAAAACTCACAAAGAGATATTGTTTGTGTGTGCGTGTGTGTGTGTGTGTGTGTGTGGGTGGGTGGGTGGGTGTGCGTGTTCTTTTGCAGGATCCCGATAACAGATGGTGATCTGAATTTGGGGACTTGGCAGGTATTTCATTTGTCTAAATTTCTTCAGTAATCCCGCTGTATTTTCTTGAACTTAAAAAAAAAAAAAAATCTTTCCATTTTTAGTTTTTTTTTTGTTTTTTTAATACCTTTTCTCAAGTTTTTTGTTCGTGTGTTTCCGTGCCCTCCTGCTGCTGATCCCATCTCACCCTCTTCTCTTGTCCCTAGCTTTACAATTCTTTCATCAACCATATGTCATGTATACAGTGCTATACATGCATACATCTCAGGAAGTAAGTTCGTTATTTGTCATCAATGTTTCCCTTACAATCTAACCACAGTAAGTGACTGAAGTACGTTAGCTACTGTCTTCACTCGAATAGAACGCCCGGTCATTATCGCTGCATCTGGACCGAAAGTTGTGCCAAATACAGCTATAATGACCGGGCGTTCTATTCGGGTGAAGACGGTAGTTAGCTGTCACTGTTGTCCTTACAATCTAGCCACAGTAAGTGACCGAAGTAAGTTAGGTAGTTAGCTGTCAATGTTTTCCTTACATTCTAAGCCACGGTAAGTGACTTTCAAGTTTTAAATAATGGTAATGTTGGTAAGTTATTTTAACTAAAACTAATTTACTGTTAGTGAACAGTCGGTAAGTAGCTGTTAATGAATGATCAAATAGTAAATAGTAAATACTCTTAATTAACTTTTACTGTTGACTAACCCTCAGTTACTGTGAACTGACCGTAAGTTATTACTGTTAACTTACGGTAAGTTATTGTTAACTAACGATAAGTTACTGTTAACTAACAACAAGTTACTGTTAACTACCGGTGAGTTAATGTTAACCACCGGGGAGTTACTGTTAACCACCGGCGAGTTACTGTTAACTGACGGTGAGTTACTGTTACATACTTCAATGAGTATGGGCAGAACCAAAGATCAACCAATATAGGATGAGCATTTATGCAGCGGAAGTCTGATAACGAACCGACTCACATAGAC